GACCTGCTGAAATCAATTCGGATTCTAAAGTATGAAACATTCAAAGAAATAATTCATAATTAATAAAAGTGAGCAAATTGCACCCAGACTTTCAAAAAATAGAGACCCAAAAATATACTATAAATGCTTAATAACTTAAAGAAAAAAAGAAAATATAAGAATCAAAAAATAAAGCTAATAATAGTTTAAAAGGCAGATCAAGAAATAATTTCAAGAATGTTAAGAATAGGGGCCAGTGCTGCAATGCAGTAGGTTAATCCTCCGCCTGTAGCACTGGCATCCCATATAGGGACCGGTTCTAGTCCTGGTTGCTCCTCTTCCCATCCAGTCTCTGCTATGGCCTGGGAAAGCAATGGAAGATGGCCCAAGTGCTTGGGCCCCTGCATACATGTGGGAAACCCAGAAGAAGCTCCTGGCTCCTGGCTTCAGATTGGCACAGTGGCCATTTGGGGAGTAACCGGTGAATGGAGGACCTTTCTCTCTTGTCTCTCCCTCTCACTGTCTGTAACTCTGCCTCTCAAATAAATAAAATCTTTTTTTAAAAAAAAATGTTAAAAATATTCTAATATTAAAAATACAATGGAATTAGTTGAAAGCATTTTATCATCAGATCAAGATTAATTTATGGATTATAAGTGAGATGTGAAAAAGTTACCCAAAATGTATCCAAATATAGTAGGATTTCTAACTCAGTAGAGGAAATTAGAAAGGAAAATATTTGAAGAGATAATAGCTAAAAACTTCCAAAATCTGTTCAATTCTTAGGTTCATAAAATGGCAATACAGATGAGAGTATATCAGTTTTTATGTGCATGACTGTACAGAAGAATGGGCATAAAAAAAATTGCACAGTCAGCCTAAGTTAAAGGAACAAATTTCTAAGAAATTACAGACTGCAAACAGCTCAAAGGAGCAATGGTTGTCAGTAGAACGTGGAGTTGGTATACAATCCAGATCTCCATACCAGCTTAAATATTCTTAAAGAAAACCAATTACAAAATTGAGCCAAAAACTTGAAGCTTAGTGCTAACATACTTTTACTGGGAACAACTTCTGTGGGCAGCCACAGGCAGTCGCTCCCTTTGTTTACACTTAAACATGGATGGAGACTTCCCGGCACAGACAATTAGACTAAGGAGATTCCGGGAAGAGGCAGGAAGAACCTTATCTCACTGCTAAACCTTTCACAAGAGATGGTATAGATAATCAGTCACACCTGAAACCTGCATTTATCACCTAAGTGTTTTATTGTACCCTTGTAATCAAGAATTAAGAACCTTATCCGGAACTCTCTGTAACCTTAAAAGCCTTTTTGATATGTAAATCTTTTGTGCTCCTTCTTGTAAACAACTGGTCATGTTTAAATACTACTGGATTTGTTGAATAAAGGAGCCTTGATCAGGACTTGTCTTGGCTTCATTCTTTGTGTCCTTGTCCCTGCATTCCCACTCTCTGTTTCAGGAAACCCGGTTCTTTGTGCTGCAGGCCGGCACAAACTTCTTTTCTAAGTTTTCATTTATTTAGTCTCATTCTATTTCAAAGACAGCGAGACAAAGACAGGCACACAGAGAGATCTATGCACTAGTTTACTCCCCAACTCTTCACTACAACCATGGCTGTCAACTGCAAATAGGGACAGTTACAGTTCTCTTTGTTCTTTTTTGTTTCCATGTTTCTCAGTTTATTTTTTGTCTGATTGTACCGGCTAGGACTTCCAGTATGGCACTAAATAATACTGCAGTGAGTGGACCTCCACGTCTCTTCCCGATCTCAGTGGGAAGCTGTGGGGAGCAACTCGGACTAGACTAAGTTACTGGAATTAAGACTTATTCTATGCATCTGCTCTCCCACAATATGGCGCTGGGAGAGAAGAAAACAGCTTCTACACAGCTGCCTCCAGTTCAACCAATAAACTGTAGGACTTGCTCCTGATTGGAGGAGAGCAGCGTACTCGGCGTGTGGGCAGCCGAGTTAGGATTGGCAGAGGAGGACTATAAAGGAGGAGAGAGACGGCATGCACCAGGAACATCTAAGGGGAACATCTAAGGGAACACCTGTGCAGCCCCCGAGAGAGCCGGCCGGCGGTGTGCTGCTCCCCTGCGGAAGTGGGGAAAGTGGCCAGGGGGAACCGCCCTTCCACGGAGGTGGAAGGGACAGTAGCCAACCCGGGAAGAACCAGCAGCAAACCCGGGGAGGGCCGAGCAGACGAAAGAACAGCGCAGGGTCCTGTGTCGTTCCTCCACGAAGAGGGGGAGCGACAGAAGCACCCAATCTTTCTACGCTAGGTATATTAACTGTAGGTTTTGGGTAGAAGTTGAGAAAGTTTCCCTCTATTTCTAGTTTTTTGGGAGTTTTTAATCAGGCTCATAAGAGTTTTGAATTTTGTCAAATGCTTTTCTGTGTCTTTTGATTTGATCATGAGATATTTCTCCTTTAGCCTATCAATATCATGTGTTATATTCATTCTCAATTATTAAACAAACCTTACATCCATAGAATATGTCCCATTTCATTCTTTAGTATAATTCTTTTTTATGTATTTCTGAACTACATTGTCAATGTTTTATTATGGATTTTGGTATCTTCATTCACAGAGAATATTGGTTTGTAATTTTCTTCTGATATATTGTTACAATTTTGTTTGGTATCAGGGAAACATTTGGCTCATCAAATAAATTGGTTAATGTTCCTTCCTCTTCAATTTTTTGGAAGAGACTATGAAAAGTTTATTCAGAATTTTTTATGATTTTTAAAGAAAATCTAAAGCAAGGGTTGCAAATCTACCAACTAAATTTTTCTTCCCAGAGGTATACTAAATAATCCTCTCTATATTTCTCAATATGCTTAAAGTATTTCAATAGTTAAAAATAAAAATGTGATAAGAATTAGAATGAATAAGTAAAACTCATTAAATTTATTGCTGAGTTTGGAATAATAGTAGCAACGAATAAAGCTATTTGAAGAAAATACCATCAATATCAACTTATACTAAATTTATACTTGTTCTCTTCATAGTTTCTGAACTCTAATTCAGTATTTCCAGTTCTGAAAATCAAAGAGTCGGGAAGAACCCAGTATTTTAATTTTATAAAGGTGAGTTACGGATGTCCCAGTACTTTGACATTCTTCTTAGGGAAGTGGAGTCTTTTTCCACTCCACTCAGTGGCTGGTCCGATACTTACTTTAGCCAAGTGCACTGCAGAAACTGGGCCAGGGCTTACAAAATGAGTGGTTTCTGGAAACCTCCTGCTTGCATCTAAGCTTCCACGTAAGGGAGCCCGGCAGCCACATGCAGAGGCTCAGGTGGAGGAGAGCGGAGGGGCCTGGGCAGCAGCTCCAGCTGAGCTCTCAGACAACCACCAGCAGCCGACTGTCAGTCATCTAAGTGTGGCCACGTTTAACATTCCCGCCATTCTGGGACTCCAGTCAAGTTCACATGATGTAGGACTCCCCAGCTGCCCTACAGAATCATGAGAAACTACAAGTCACTGTTCGAAGACATCAGGTTCTGAGCTTGTTGTTAAGCAGGTATATAAGACTCGAAGAAGGTAGGTTCAAAAGCACTATGTAGCTAACAAAACAGAATGGATCACTGATCTCTAAACGATTAGACCTAAATGATTAGGTATCATCCATATGATGTTCTGGTTTTTAACATTCAGGCGTTAGTGAAAGCCCAGTGCTTTAACAATAAGCTGCCATTTCATTCGTACTTTACAAAACGGAAACACGTTTCTGTTAATATTTACATGTGAGTAACCATGCAATGCCAAAACCAAGTTGGGAGGCCAACTGTCTACAGTCAGTTGTTTTTACTCATACTTTGGTGAGCCAACAGCTGTTCTAACCTAGAAAACAGTAAGTTGAAAAGTTAAGATTCTTATAATACCATAGTTATCATGTTTTATTCAAGATTTCTCCAGATCTCTTTTGATAGAAAAATATTTTCCTCTCCAAAAACATTAAACTTCAAAACTACTTAGCCAGACACTCAATAACTTTTTTTTTCTTTCTACCATCATCAATCCTAGCCTTGGAGGTACTTATAGGTTAGATAATGAACAAGGTCCTCATTCTCTGTGTTTTTTTTTTTCTCTATGATTACAGGAAAGTCAATTATAAAGTATAGATATTAGGCCTGAATCCAGATCTTTTATCTCCTAGGAAATGTTAACAAATGAGAACCCTTTCTTCTTGGACAAGCTGATTAATCTTGTAAGAAATTACAGTAAGAGGAAGCTCACATATGAGTATAGAGATAGGAGGGGACTTTTAAAAACTCATGAAAAAATGGAATTAAAGGATGAGTGTAAACTGGTACAAAAACTGAAATCCATGCATAGCTTTTTCACAATATGCACATTCTATGAACTTTCTGAAGACCCACTGTATACATGGATTTAAAAATTTTTGCACTAAAATACACTTATCTTTTAATTCCCTTTTTCTAAGACCTTTTTGAAGCACTTTCATATAAGTGGCCCTATTTCAAAAGTAATGCAAAATAATATTAAATCTGGTCCTTGTATACTCACTGTCTTCTTCTATTCAAAAAGAACAAAATGGATTAATTTGACCATTTATTCTAAGCATAAGAACACATTGAGGAGCAAGTGTTGTGGCCCAACAGGTAAAATCATTGCTTGCGACTCTGTTATCTCACAAAAACACCAGTTAGAGTGCTGGCTGTTCCACTTCTGATCCTGCTCCTTCTAATGCACCTGAGAATGCAGTGAAAGATGTCCCCAGTACTTGGGCCCCTGGCACCCACATAGAACGAGATGGAGTTCCTGATTCCTGTATTTGGCCTGACTCAGCCTTGGCCATTGCAGCCATCTGGGGAGTGAGCCAACAGATTTAAGATATCTCTATCTGTGTCCCTTCCCATTTGTGTAACTCTTTCAGATAAATACATAAACCTTAAGAAAAAAAAAAAAAAAACAGAACACTTGGGATCTATATTTTCCCCTCTTGCTCCATTTAGAATTTTCACGACTTACTGGCTGCCCAGGTTCACCAACTCCCACTGCTCCAGGAGCGCCTGTTCTTCCTTCTTGACCTCTTTCTCCCTGGGGGAGAGAGAATGGAATGAAAGCTTGAGTTTTAAAATAAAAAGATATATAGCACAAAATGTTGCTGAAATTTCAACAAGACAAATAGCAGCATCACAATAAAGATTTTTGTATTCATCACAATAAAGATTTATCAAGAGAAATATCTTGATTTAAGTGAGCAAATCACCCTCCATGTTTATCATCTCTTCCAGTCTAGATGCAACGCAATGGTTTCAACTCTCAGGAACCGCTGTGCAGTAACTGGCAGGATGGACTGTGCGCCCACTCACTTTCTGGTGACTGAGATGATCAAGCTGACAATGCTTGTGCTGTCTCCTGCCCCTGAGCCACCCTCCTGGAATGTTTCCCTTCCGTATCCCCTCTGTGTCCTATTTCACCAATCCTTCAAGCTGTTTCATGACTCATCTCCTTTGGAATTCTTCTCCAAAAGTTCTGCCAATATAAACTCCACCTTCCTGGAGTCTCAATGTACTTATTGTTGAAATGCTAGCCAATGGGTCTTCAACATTTTCATGAATACATAGTATGAAAGAATTATACATGGATTTCAAATGTTTTGCACTAAATCATTTTATCCTTTAATCCCATTTTCCACAAACTTTTTGAAGTCCATGATGACATTTAATTACATTGAAAGTACATGCTTTTCTACTGATCTCTATTTTAGTACTACTTCAAAGGCTTATTGCTCAGCAATTTTCCACATAGAAAGGCCATTTAAATATGTTCTTATGCTCTATCATGGCCTGGATGATGCAAAGTACCCCAGAAAAGGAAGTGTCCCTTTTTAGTTCCCTACAAACCTTCTGTCAACATTTATTTAGTGTCATGGGCCAACTGGCCTGTGTTCTTCCATGCTTATTTAATGTGATAAAGGTGATAGCTGATGGCCAAGGTGTGGTATTTCCTAATAACATATTCACATGCTCGTGTTTAAACACCATAAAATCTCAACAGAAGTACATGAAGATTGGCAAGAGAGTGTGTATTTGCAGATATATTCATTCCAACCAAATAAAAACAAAAATCATGATTATGGTACTTGCCCCTGACCAGGGCACTTTGCTGTCTAAGCATACAGAACCTAAGTAGCTTCTGCAAGAAGCTTCCTTCAGACTATTAAGGTTAGGCTGAACAGAGTTTAAATCACACTGTCCTGTGCCCTGCTCTAAATTCAACGATCATCAATGGGCAAAGAAACAAGTATTCTTACCTTAATACCTTGCTGTCCAATTCCAGGGGCTCCTGGAGGACCATAAGGGCCAGGAGGTCCTGGCTCACCCTAGAGGAAGAAACAGTGATGGGTTAGGTCAACCTAATAGTAGCAGCGCATAGCTGTTCAGTGTTGCAATAGGGATTCTGAAGGTAACAACAAAACCTGGTTGAGAATCCTTCCTTCAATTATTTATAATCCATTTGGAAAAGCACAGACAGTATCTAGCCCACACACAGTACTTTAAGGGTCCATAAAAATGTTTTAATTTTTTAAACCAGAACAAAATATAACCCTAATAATAAGGAATATATAACAATGAATCCATCCTGTATTATAATTGTCTTTATATTAACTCAGTCATAAAATATAACTTAAAATAAAATATTTTTGATGGAGGAAGGGTCCCACAGGGCAAAATACTTTAGGATTCATGAAAGCCATAAAGAAGCCCTCACTCATTCATCCAGCAAATCTGCAGTTGAGTGCTCTAGCACACCCATTCTGCTTCCTGCTCAATGGCTGTTCTCAGCCTTACTTTTCTTCCCTGCTGATGGAACCCTGATCTGCCCTGATCTGTGAGGCCAACGAGCAGCTATTCTTTGCACTCGGATGGAAGATGAATGATCATCAGTCTAATGCAGGTTAGAGCCACCTTTCCCTTTGCCATTGATTAGTATGGTTGTACCTGTGCTCATTTCTGACAAATGAGATAGGAGGGAGTTTTCTGCTTATAAAGGACAAACTTTTTGCCTCTTTTCCTGCATGGAGGTGTGATAACTATCTTGTGACCATGAAGCAACAATCTCTAGAATGAAAGCCAATGGTTGAAGAGGACAACACAGGGAAAATTGGGGAGATCCTGGCTTCCAGATGCCCCTGTTGAGCTACTGATCCAGTCCTAGACAACCTACTGTCAACATTCCATGTCCTCAACAGTTATTGTAGCTTAAAACTTTCTTAGTCAACATTATTATTACCCAAGCCAGATCATTCTCAATTAATGACAGCCTACCATGTGGCAGGCACATAGTAGAATTCAGCTATCCCAGAACTGGATGAGACCATGGCACTCAAACCCTTCCATTTCACAGGTGACCCCAAGAGAGGCTACCTGGCCTGCCCAAACTCATGCCTCAATGTGATTCACACAGACAAGGCTCTTCAGATCTCTCAGGCTTTGGACCCTATGATGTTATGATGAGGGAAAGAGGGTGGTTATTGATTAACTGTTTTTCTTATAATATGAATTTATTGTTTATCAAAATAATATATCTTCATGGCAGAAAATTGCCATATATTAAAACTATTCAAAGAATATTTTAAATTACTCATCCGTAACTTCTATTAATTTGGGGTTTGTTTTCTTCCTTTTTTTTAGGTCCAGACATGTACCTTCAGTTTTTATACTAAAGAAGGTTTATGAATATTCTTATGTTTGAATTAATGATATTGGATCTTAAATTTCATAGGGGAATGAAACCAAGATGGTGGCTCTGTAAGAGGTATCAGCGACCACTTCCCAGAAAAGATACCCAAGTGAACAGCTGTACAAACAGCCGTATACCAAGTCACCTTCACAAGAGCTATGGTAGCCAAGTGAAAAATCACAGTGCCTCATCTTTAATTTTTTTTTATTTATTTTATTTATTTGAAACAGTTACAGAGAGAGATAGTGAGAGAGAGGTCTTCCATCCACTAATTCACTCTCCAAATGGTTGCAATAGTCAGAGCTGAGCCAATCCAAAGTCAGGAGCCAGGAGATTCTTCCAGGTCTCCCACATGGGTGCAAGGGCCCAAGCATTTGGCCATCTTCTGCTGCTTTCCCAGGCACAATAGCAGGTAGCTGGATCAGAAGTGGAGCAGCTGGGACTTGAACTGGTACCTATATGGGACACTGGTACTGCAGGCTAGGGCTTTAGCCAACTGCATCACAGTGCCAGCCCCAATAGTGCCTTATCTTGATATAATCACAAGAAAAGCCACATTGAAGAAAGCAATATGGAACAAGTTGCCTACATCACCCCTTTCCAGCTCCAAGGGATATAGCCTGGAGAGCACCTCCTGCTGGAGAGAGGGAGAATAAACGGAATCCCAGTGCCAGGCCTGCTGTGAAAAGTTCAGTTAGACTGAGCACTCCTCTCCCAGTGCCAGGTCCATAGTTGTAGAGTGACTATTTGGAACCTCCTCAGCCAACTGGCCTCCTCCAACCACCAGCAGAAAACTAAACTCTAACCACTCAGAGAGGCTGGGACAGGGAGGAAATCAGACTCAAATTCCAGAAGCCCAAGACCTCAGCTCAGACTGAGCCTCTAGGCTTGCCCAGCATCAGGAGGAAACCTGGGCTCCAGTCGGTGGCACTCATTGTCCTATCACTGCCAACTGCAACAGAGTGAAGAGACAATCTACAGAATGGGGAGAAATTGTAAGCTACACATCTGACAAGGGGTTAATGTTGAGAATATGTAAGGAACTCAAACAACTCAATAGTACAATAACCAAATAATCCAATTTTAAAATGGACCATAGATAGAAACAGACATTTCTCAGAGGAAGACATATAAATGGCCATCAAGTGCATGGAAAAAATTCTCAACATCACTAATCATCAGGGAAATGCAAATCAAACTACAATGATATATCACCACACTTCAGTAAGATTGGCTTTCATCAAAAAGATGAAAGATAACAAATGTTGGTGAGGATGTAGAGGAAAGAGAATACTTGCAAACTGATGATGGGAATATAAATTCATACAGCCACTGTGGAAAACAAAAGTAGAACTATCATATCCTCCAGAAATCCCACTTCTGGGTTTATATCCAAAGGAAGTGAAATACATCTGGCAAACAGTCATCTGCTCTCCCATGTTTAACATAGCACTATTCACAATAGCCAAGAAATTAAAACAACTTAAGTATACATTTGGGGGCCAGCACTGTGGCATAGTGGGTAAAGCCTCCACCTGCAGTGCCAGCATCCCATATGGCTCTGGTTTGAGTCCTGGCTGCTCCTCTTCCAATCCAGCTCTCTGCTATGGCCTGGGAAAGCAGTAGAGGATGGCCCATATCCTTGGGTCCCTGCACCCACATGGGAGACCCGGAGGATGCTCCTGGCTCCTGGCTTTGGATCGGTGCGACTCCAGCCATTGCAGTCAACTGGGGAGTGAACCAGTGGATGGAAGATCTCTCTCTCTCTCTCTCTCTCTCTCTCTCTGCTTCTCCTTCTCTCTCTGTGTAACTCTGACTTTCAAATAAATAAATAAATCTTTATAAAAGTGTACATCTGTCAATGAATGGATAAAGAAAATGTGATACATATACCCAATGGAATATTTCTCAGCCACAAAAAAAGGATGAAATCTTGCCATTTCCAACAATATGGATAGAACTGGAGTTCATTATATCAAATGAAATAAGCCAAACAGAGAAAGACAAGTATCACATGATTTCATTGATATGTGGATTCTGAAAAAATATGTGTTCTCATAAGACTGGGGCAGCAGTAGAGAGAAAGGGTGGGGAAAGATTCGGTAAGAGGTACTAGGTTATAGCTGGATAGGAGTGAGAAGTCCTGGGATTCTATTACACAGCAATGTGATTATAGATAAAGTAGTATATTATATATTTTTCTATTAAAATACCTTGCAGATAGGATTTTGAATGTTTTCACTATCAAGGAATGTTAAGTGCTTAAAAGGATAAATCCATCTACCCTGTTGGATATTACACAATGTGTATGTGTAATGAAACAGCAAATTGTACCACATAAATATGCACTATTTTGTATGTATGTTAAATATTTTTAATTAAAAACTTAAACTGCTTGAATAGCATGATTATAAAAAGGTATTGTCCTGATACGTTATATACTTTATCTCACTTAATCTTCTAATAATCCTAGGAAATAAGCATTCTTTCCATTTTATAGTATAGAAATACAATCTCCATATTTTAACCCATGTTCAATCAGAGGGGAAAGAAACATGGCTCAGAGTCATTCAGTCCAGTGGAATACTGGCTCCATTCATTTACTAACAGCTCAAACATTTGTAAGATCCTCATCTGCAAAATGAAGATAATGATATCTACCTTGCAGCATTGTTGAGGACATTAAAAATGCTGCTGATAAAATATCTAAGTCATAACCAGTCACACAGTAGCTGTTTAATGTGAGTAGATTCAATTGTACCAGGTTGGTGGTCAATAACATTCTGGTACATAACAATTTATGCCTATAATTGAGTATCAGGTTACATAATTAGAGACATAAATCAGATTGCACCTGCACTTTGCAGAAGCTTACACAATCTGGCTAGAGAGATAAATGAATATAAAACAAATACAAGCATGTGAATTACCTATAACAAAAGTATTAACAGAGCACATAAGTTTCTGAGGCAGAAATGTTTAATTATGCCTTAAGGAATTGGGAAAGTTTCATTATAGAGGGCTTTTCTCATTTGAACAAAGAAGTAGAAGTCATAGCTAATCTGGTAGGAAAGAAAAGGAGCAAAAGTTCAGGAAGAGAAGAGAATAAGGCATAAAATGAGGTACAATGTCCCGGGGACAGTGAGCATTCCTGTGGGCCCAAAGGCCAGGAATGAAGTCACAATAGAGAGTCACTGCAACAGTGCCTTCCACTGGGAATGTACAGTGAGCCACATGTGTAATTTGAAATTTCCTAGTAGCCACATTAAGAAAGTAAAAAGAACCAGGTGAATAATAAATAATACTGTATTTTACTTAACCTGACACATGTGTAAAGTATTATCATTTCAACATGTAATCAATAATTTTAGAGTATTATTGATTGCATTTTTTGCTATTTTTAATGCGAAGTCTTTGAGAGCCAATGTGAGGACACTTATAGCACATTTCTATTTGGACTAGCCACATTTCAAGTGCTCAATAGCCCCATGTGGCTACTCTATTGGACAACAGAGATTCAGGTCAGAACCATGGACAGTGCCAAGTGGGTGGGGAATAAAAGAATGCAGACATGGCTTGCTGGAGTTGATGGAAACTAAAATTTCAAAAGGGAGCCATCATTTCCAAAGTCAAACTCAT